AAGTGTTGGGATTACAAGCATATGCTACAATTCCTTGGCAGTGTGCTGGCTTTATGTGGTGCTGGTGATCAAACCTGGATTACAAGCATATGCTACAATTCCTTGACAGTGTGTTGGCTTTATGTGGTGCTGGTGATCAAACCTGGGGCTTCACCCATAATAGGGCCAGCACCCCATCCACTGAACCACATCCTTAACTTATTTTTTTTCTGGGTGCAGGGTGTTTCTCTGTGTTGCCCTGGCTGTCCTGGAGCTCCCTGTGTAGGCTGGGCTGGTCTTGAACTCAGAGATCTGCCTGCCTCTGCCTAACCAAGTGCACCACCACTTCCCAGCCCATCCTCAGCTCTTTTTTTTTTTTTTTTTGGAGACAAGGTTTCTCTGTGGCTTTGAGGCTGTCCTGGAACTCACTCTGTAGACCAGGCTGGCCTCGAACTCACAGAGATCCGCCTGCCTCTGCCTCCCGAGTGCTGGGATTAAAGGCGTGCGCCACCAACGCCCGGCTCGGAAACCTTCTTACCTTTTTTTTTTTGGTGTTTTTTTTTTTTTTTTTGAGACAGGTTTTCTCTGTGGCTTTGGAGGCTATCCTGGAACTAGCTCTTATAGACCAGGATGGTCTTGAACTCACAGAGATCCACCTGCTTCTGCCTCCCAAGTGCTGGGATTAAAGGCGTGTGCCACCACCGCCTGCATCCTCAGCTCTTAATGACCCTATTATAATAAAAATGTGATGGCATTATTTTTGCTACCTTAAAATAAGATTCCACTAAAAAAAAATCTTCAAAGTCTTGTATACTAGCTCGAAGATTTTAATCCTAGCACTGGGGAAGCAGAGGTGAGAGGGTCATGAATTCTAGGCCGACCTGGGCTATATAGAAAGACTCTGTCTTAAAGAAAAAGCAAATATGGAAAAAAAAAACAGCCTGCACTTTGTCATTGAAGATCCAATCTTTTAACTTGAAGTCTCTTCAAACAACTGGTGATTTTGAAGGAATATTACTACCAGAAACTATCTCAACAGCTTCTGTTTTGTTTTCTAAGACAGGGTCTGTCCATGTAGTCCTGGCTGTCCTGGAGCTTTATCCACCAGGATGGCTTAAAACTCACAGATCTCCCCTACCTCTGCCTCCCGAGTGCTGGGATTAAAGGCGTGCGCCGCCACCGCTTGGCTGAAGATAGCATTCTTGAGCCTTTATTGTTCCCATATATTTATTTCCATGTCTATGCGTGTTTTATTTGCACATACATGTGTATATGTGCACCGCATGTGTGCTTAGTGCCTGTGGAAGCCAGAAGAGGGCATCAGATCCTCTGAAACTGGAGTTACAGATGGTTGTAAACTGCTGTGCTGGAAACCAAACCCAGGTTCTTGCCAAGGCTGAGATTCTAGTTCGATTTCTGCTGCTGTGATAAAAACCACTGACTGAGATCAGTTTGTTTGACTGACGGGTTTCTGTTCATTACTGAGGGAAGTCTGGTATTGAACTCAAGTTGTCAGGCTTGGTGGCAAACTGCTAAGCCATCTCACCAACCTGTGTGTGTGTGTGTGTGTGTGTGTGTGTGTGCATACATGCCACAGTGGTTGGTTCTCTTCTTCTACCAGGTGGGTACCAGGGATCCAGCTCAGCTCATCAGGCTGAGTGACAAGGCAAGCTCCTTTACCTACAGAGCCATCTCGCCAGACCCGGTTTTGTTTTATTTTGAAACTGGGTCTCACTACTATGTGTCTCTGGCTGGCCTGTAGGTTTCCAGTAGTTTAAACGGAGTATTATTTTGTCACATTTCCATTGCATCCTGAGATCTGCTAATATTCTAAGTGATTAGAAACTCGCATACATTTAGGTTCATTTTGTGTGTGTGTGAAGTAATGTCCTATGGATTTTGACAAATGCGTTATAAAATTATCATGCAAAATAGTTCCACAGTCCTAAGATGTCCCTGTGTTTGCCCATCTTCCCCCCACCCCCACTTGCAATCGCTGACCTTGTTTCTTTCTCTTTAAGTTTTGCTTTTTTCAGAATGTAGTATGTCCTGGGGGGCAGGGAGGTCATACAGTTCACAGCCTTTTCAAATTTGGCTTTTTTTTTTTTTTTTTTAGCAACATGTGTTGAAGATTTGCGCATGTCTTTTCAGGCTTGGTGGGTCTGTTCAAACATACGGAGGTATCGCGGTTTTTTTGTCCTTCGCGCACCGCAGCAGGGCGCGCTGGTTGATTTCAGTCGTGGGCCATGATGGGCAATCTGTGGGTCAGATTCTGTGTGCGTGCAGGTTTTCGGTATTTGGGAAACAAAGCAGACAGTTGGCCCACCACTTCTCTTTCTGGTTCCGCCCCCTTGTTTATCTCCATCAGAAAGAAAGCCTGCTGCTGAGTCCATTAACGTGAGTCAGCCCGCTTTACAGTGTCAAAGTCTGCCTGTCACTAGCCAGCTTCCCGAGGCTCACTCGTTCAGTTACAGTCTTCCGTCAGTATTGCGCCACGCCCCATTTCTCATTATTCTAGAGTTTTCCATGTCTTCGCGCCTCTTACTGTCATTTTAAGTGGGATGGAGTGACAGGGAGTGGAAGTATCAGCTTCCAAAGGACTAACCTCAGTCAGTGATGGCTCCCTTTCCATTCCCTAAGGCTCACATTTGAGCTCCCCAGGCATAGGGACGTCTCTAGGGCTCCCCCCCTCCACCCCATGGCTATGACAAAATGCCTAAGGCTGAATATATTACAGAGAAAAGAGACTTACAACGGTGAAACCCATTACTCTGTATGGTTACCTAAAAGTTTAATAATAATAATAATAAAGAAAAACTTCCTTATCTGAGTGCTTTGAAGGTTGAGAGTTCAAGATTGGGTAGCCCTATCTGTCCAGCCAGTGGGAAGGGCCTCTTTGGCTGGGTTGCAACGTGGCTGAAAATAGAGAGGGGTCACTTACATGCAGAAGAGGCCAGATGCATGGGGTGTCTTAATAATAAACTAATGCCAAGGAACCAGCACTAATCCCTTCCTGGAAAGTACCCCATGATGTAACCATGCCCCATGTCTTAAAGGTTCCACACTCCCTCAGTGCCACCACACTGGAGGACCACATTTCAAGCATTTGAATCCTCTGGAGGGGGCGTGGTCACCCCATCCTCACCCTAGCTGGCAGACAGGATATTAGTCAGGTCTTGTCTTCTTTGACCCCAGGCATATCAGAATACTCTGTGCCTACAAGTCCCCAACCCTTGTCCCTGCTAGGTTCAAGGTCCAAACCTTTGACCAAGCTTAGGGCTTTGGTGGCCCAGACCTATGGAGGGAGCGTGGCTCAGCATTCTGAGCTGGAGGTCTCAGGGCGTGGTATCGTCTGGATATGGCTCAGCCTAGGGAATGGGTGCAAGTGGAGAGGTAGGAAGGGGTGGCACATGCAGCAGGAGCACCTTGAATGGATTCGTGTTTCTCAGTGGGAGCATCCTAAGTCCTTGGGCTCCATCCCAAGCACACGCGCACGCATGCGTGCGCACGCACACAGACACACACACACAAAACAAAACAAAAACCAACTAACCAAACAACAGCAAAAGGACCTGTGAATAGATCAATAGATCAATGGCACTCAACCTCTTGCTAGTCTCTATTTAGTACACTGTGTGCAGTTCCTAACAGTATCTCCCGACCAGTCTTCTGGGGAAGTGACAGAGATCTTTTTGGCATGGGGTAGAGTCAAGTAGGTCGTGATGAATCAGCCATTGAGTGGAACCATCTCCCTGCCAACCGTTACTAGTCTCTATTCTGTTCTCTTACGTCTTTCTCTCCACCATGACACCTTCCCCTGGAGGATGTCAGCCACGTAGCATCCTTACCTGCAGCCTCAGGACCTTCCTAGTGACATCTCCAGCCACAGCTCCTTCCCTGAGAACTTGCTGGTGCAGACAGTGCACCGTAGTAGTCCCAGCAACGAGTATCTCATGCCAGCCCCCCTTCAATTCATTTCTATCTGTTTGGGGTTTCTCCAGGGTCCCTAGGCATATTTAGTTCACTTACACATCTTCTCTTGCTTCTGAGAACTGTTATGTATTTGTTTTGGTAGCATTAAGATACCTTTGTTAGAATATTTTAGCAAAATTTGTGTGAAGGCAAGACAGGTGAATGACGTGGGGTTGGAAAAACAAGGTGCCTCTCCTTTCCATGATTGGGGCTGCCGCTCCCCTTCATCATCTTCCTCCTCCTTTTCCTCCTTCTATTCTTCCTCCTCCTTTCCCCCCTCTTCCTTCCCCTCTTCCTCCTTGTCATCGTCTTCCTCCTCCTCTTCTCCATCCTTTTCCTCCCTCTCTTCCTCCTCCTCCTCTCCTCCATCTCTTCTTCCTCCTCCTCTTCCTCATCCTCCTCTTCCTCCCTCTCTTCATCCTCATCCTCCTCCTCCAGCTCCCCCTTTCTCTTACTTTTCCTCCTCCTCCCCCTACGACCTCCTTTTTGACATAAGATCTGTAGCCTAGGCTGGCTTTGAACTCATGACAATCTTCCTGCCTCTGATTCTCAAGCACTGGGATTACTGTTATGAGTCACCATGACTTGTTCCTGGGATTCAGACTTGAAGGGCCCTGTGACCTCCCTCCAGCCCAAATACTTTTTGGCGTTTTGGTTTCTTTGTTGTTTTTAAGATAGTTTCGTTATGCAGACCAGACTGCCCTTGAACTCACATAGATTCACCTGGCTCTCCATTCTGGGTACTGGGTCTAAAACTGTGTGGCTTGGTGTTTTGTTTTGTTTTAAAACAGAAACTTGGGGGGCTGAAGAGATGGCTCAGTGGTTAAGAGCACTGACTGGTCTTCCCTTCTGAAGGCCTTGAGTTCAATTCTCAGCAACTACATGGTGGTTCACAACCATCTATAATGATATCTGGTGCCTTCTTCTGGTGTGCAGACATGCATGCAGATAGAGTACTGTGTACATAATAAATAAATCTTAAAACAACAACAACAACAAAAAAAACAAAAACAGAAAACTCACCTCGTGGTGCTGGCACATACCTTTAATCCCAGTACTTGGGAGGCAGAGGCTGGAGAATCTCTGTGAGTTCAAGACCAGCCCTGTCTACAAAGTGAGCTCCAGGACAGCCAGGGCTACACAGAGAAACCCTGTCTCGAAAAACCAGCAAACGAAATAGAAAATCAAACCCAACAAACAAAAACCAGAAACTCAGTATGTATCCTGGCAGGTTTAGAACTGTCTCTGCAGAACAGGCTGGCCTCAGACTTGCAGTAATCCTCCTGCCTCGGCCTCTTAAATGCTGAGATTTCCAACTAAAACACCTTTTGAACAAGTCCAAGTCCAAGACTATCTTCTGTGGGAGGAAAATGATTGCCAACTGCTCTTCAGAGCACAGTTTGGGGTCTTCCAACCTGTAAAGGATTTTCTTGGGGTTTATTTTAATCATTGTTTTCTGCTGGGGTCAAGAGCCTCCCAGTTGTCCTTTTTTCCTCTCTGGAAAACATGCTAGGGATTTTGTTCCCATGGGAAGGATGGGATGAAAAATCTGGTCCCTAGGATGACTCCATAGCTATTTAACCAATTACTGGGGGTTTAGGCAATGTTCCCACTGTTCTCAAGCCTGTGCCAGTAAACTCCCAGCTCCTAGCGTACAGGCCTCCTCCTGGGATCACAGCAGCCCACAGTTTGCACATTAATCTTTTCTCTGGCTGCAAAGAGTCCACGGATTGAGTTTAGGGGTGGGGATTGTAGCCTGGGCCATAATTAAGAGTACCATGCAGTAGCTGCGAGATGTCACACAAGCAAACTTTACTCTGTGCCTCAGTTCCCATTCCTGTAAAGTGGGAGGTGTCAGAGTGGAGCTTGGGGGAGATCAGTTGGAAGTGTTCGGAGCAGTCTGTGCTCCGCTGGGGTTAGCTCTGTCCTTCCCGCCTCACTTCCTGGAACAGGCTTCCTCTGGGGTCCAGCTGCTCCCCTCCCCAGCTCCGGAGCTGCGGCTGGCCAGTCTGCAAGGACCTAGAGGGCTACTGGGTGAGTTTCAACCTCTGAGGCATTGACTGGCCAGTCTCCAGGTCAGCTGCAGTTTTACTGCTCGGAACCAAATGGCCTCCATCACAGGGAGGAGGCCCCAAATCTCTCATGCCCGTGCTGGTTTGGAGGGTGTGACCTCTACGTCACCTCCAGCTCCCACAGGGCCTCCAGTACTTGGGGTGGCAGTGTGCTCTGCAGCATCCCTCGCTGAGTTTAAGGTGTCCCAGTCCGGCCACATGCACTGTGGGGCGCACTGGAAACACAAGCTTGCAGCAGTCCAAGGGAAGGTGCCCCCGGTGCTCCTCTGAAGTTGGAATCCATTGAGTCTTCTGATCCTGAAACACAGTGTCACCACTTGTAACTCTCCCAGCATCTTGTCCCCCCTCTGGGCCCTCTCTTCATGTTTCTCTTTTAAAAAAATATTTTTTGAGAATTTCATACACAAGCACACTGTATTTACATCATTTCTACTCTTCCTTCTCCTCCTTCAATTTTTTCCATGCCCCTCTTGCCCTCTGGAATTCATTACCTCTTTTTCTACAATTACTATTCTCTCTCTCTCTCTCTCTCTCTCTCTCTCTCTCTCTCTCTCTCTCTCTCTCTCTCTCTCTCTCTCTCTCTCTCTCTCTCTCTCTCTCTCTCTCTCTCTCTCTCTCTCTCTCTCTCTCTCTCTCTCTCTCTCTCTCTCTCTCTCTCTCTCTCTCTCTCTCTCTCTCTCTCTCTCTCTCTCTCTCTCTCTCTCTCTCATGTCCTGCCCCTATGGGCACCATTGTGCCCAGACTGGTAGCAGCTCATCTCTTCTGCTCGAGATGCTGTCACAGGGTTCTAGTGCTACCACACCGGGTCTCTGCATCCTTAACCACCCAAGATGAGAAAAAAAAGCCCATTATCCACCCATAGGGGACGCTGTAGAGACACTTCCTGCTGTGACCCTGGCAGTTCCTTGGCCTTCTTTATCCCTTTGATACAGGATTCCCATGCAGAAGAGTGGCCCTTTAAATTGTGTTGCTGGGCTGGAGAGGTGGCTCAGAGGTTAAGAGCACTGACTGCTCCTCCAGGGGTCCTGAGTTCAACTCCCAGCAACCACATGGTGGCTCACAACCATCTGTAATGAGATCTGGTGCCCTCTGCTGGACCATATACGTACTGTATGCAGAATAAATAAAAATTAAAAAAAAAAAGTGTGTTGCTTCTTACTGTCGTCCTGAGTTGGGCAACCATCCGTACTATTAAATCCCAGATCATTTTCACCCCCAAATGAAAATGCACGCCCATTAAGCCGCCAGTTGCCGATGCCCCACAGCCCTCCGCTCTTGCATTCATCGGATTACCCTCTGGGTCAGTGGAACGTGCCTATTTCAGACATCCATGTAAGTAGAATGCTTTAAGAAAAAAAATTGACCTTTTCTGGATGGCTTTTGCACTCTCCCCGATGTTTTCTAGGCTTGTCTGTGCTGTACTAGTACCAGCAATTTCTTCCTTCTCCTGGATGAATATTAACCCCCCCCCCCCACACATACCATTTCATGGAGTTCGTAGTCACCACCTTTTGTAGTGTGAGTACTGTTACCATGAGCATCTGTGTACATCCAAGTCCCGTTTTTGGTGCTTCTGGGTAGATCCTTATTGCTGGATCATGTCATAATTCTGTCTGACTCTTTTTGTTTGTTTTGTGTTTGAGACGGGGTTTCTCTGTGTACCCCTGGCAGTCATGGAAACCATTCTGTAGACCAGACTGGTCTCGATCTCAGAGATTGGCTTTCTTCTGCCTCCTAAGTGCTGTGATTAAAGGTGTGCGGCTCCACCACTGCTCAGCTTCTGTCTCACGTGCTAAACAACCTCCAGAATGTATGTAATGGTTGCATCATTTCCAGGGGCGGTGTGGAGGCTCCAACTTCTCCGCATCCTCCCTAGTCCTCGTAGATGTAAGGAGGTATTTCACCGTGGTTTTGATTTTGCGTTTCCCTGATACGGGTCGGTATGTTTCGGATGCCTTCGGGTGACTCATCCATCCTCTCTGGAGAAATGTCTAATTGGATTATTTGCTCATCAGAAACAGAATTAGTTTTCTCCTGGGGGGAGGAGACAGGGTGTTATTCCCCTTGCCTAAGTTTGCCTCAAACTCCCTATGTTGTAGCTAAGGATGACCTGGAACTTCTGATCCTCCTGAGGGTTGGGATTATAAGTGTGTACCACCATACTTGGTTTATGAGGTTCTGGGGTCAGATCGCAGGCAAGCATTCTGCAAACTAACTAAGCTACTTTGTGTGTGTGTGTGTGTGTGTGTGTGTGTGTGTGTGTGTGCTCGTGTGTGCGCTCAGGGAGTGGGGTGGTCTGCTTGTATGTGTACATATGTTTGCTACTATACTCACCTATGTGTGAACATGCAGAGGTCTGGAGGTCAATGTCAGGTGTTTTCTTCTTCTCTTCCCACTTCATTTTCTAAAAATTTTATTCATTTATTTAGTTTGGTTTGGTTTTTCAAGACAGGATTTCTCTTGTGAAGCAGTCCTGGCTGTCCTGGAACTCTCTCTGTAGACCAGGCTGGTCTGGAACTCACAGAGATCTGCCTGCCTCTGCCTCCCGAGTGCTGGGATTAAAGGCCTGCGTCACCACCTACCAGCTGTTTTTTTAATTTCTAATTTCCACTGGTGGGTTGATTAGTGTGTTTGTGTAGAGGTCAGAGGACAGTTTTCTGCAGACGATGGTTATTTCCTTCTACCATACAGGCTCTTTGGGGCGAACTCGGGTTTATCAATTTGAAGCAGGAACCTTGACCTGCTGAGCAATCTCTCCGGGCCCTCACTTTATTTTCTGAGACAAGATTTCTCAATGAAACTTCTCAGCTAGACTGGCTGGCCATGGAGTCCTGACTTTCCTGTTTCCTCTGCCCCAGAACTGAGGCTATAGACACAGCTAGCACACCCAGAGTCTATGGGTGCAGCCATCCACATGCTCGCACAGCCAGCACTTTCTCTGTGGAGCCATCTCTTCAGGACCTACCTTGTCTTTTTATTAAAGAGCAAAATGTCTTCCTATCCTGCGGGCTGCCCCTCGCTGCCTTGATAGCGTGTCTAGGAACACAAAAGATTTTCATTCTCACAGTCTCTCTTGTCTACTGGGTGGCCACGTGAGCCTTTGGTGTCGTATCCAGGACGTAAATCGTTTCCCCTCCGTTCAGATCCTTTCCATCTGCTGAGCTCCAGATCCTTCCTCGTGTTTGCAAGCCTTGCTTCTAATGCTTGCCTCTCTTGAACAAGTTTATCTGTCTCCGATAACAAATTCCCCAGAGGTAGTGGCCGGTCCTGAAAAAAAAAAACAAGCGAACAGTATGCAATTAATTAAAGCTTTTAATGATGGCTGTTGACGATGACCAAGGGTCACCAAGGTCTCCCCTGGGTCTGCTTCACGCTGCAGAATAAATCCATTTTATGGTCACAGAAGACGACCCTGAGATAGGGGACACCCTGGCATAGAGTAGAGGGGAATCCAAAGATACTATCCTACTTGAAACAAGACCACCATCCAACCTGGCTTCCTGTCAAGTTCAGGGCAATGCTTTTGCTGGGATAACAGTGTGGGCTCCTGCTCCAAGAGAAAAAAAATAACCAAAAAAAAAAAAAAAACCGTGGCACCTGTGCAGGATCAGGGCCCAGCGTTTGGACCCAGGCTTGAGCGGTGGGAGGCTCAGGAAAGCGCTGCTTAGCTCCTAGTCTCAGATGCTCGCTCTGCCAGCTGGAAATTGGAACCTGTCCCTACAGGGATGTTCCCAGATCAGTTAAGAGCCTTCGCCAGAGCACAGGAGCCCACAGCGTGGTAGCCTCAGCTTTCTGGTCTTCTGTCCGCGAGAGGCCCACTGTGCGTCTGGACAGTATTTCAAGTTCTGCCCTAGCCTCCGTCCGAGCCAGCATACCTGTTTGACTCCGAGGCCCCGAGGAGAGTCAGAGCTGGTCATGTTGGATCGCCACTTAACAAAGGTGTGACGCAGAGGAAAAGAAAAATCTTGTGCAACTGAGAAAACGAGGTGGCAGCAGCATTTCCGATAGCGGTGCGAGCACGTGAGGCAAGACACGCAGCGGCCAGGTGCGCCACAGACAACAGCTGACCGGGTAGAGCTCACGATGCTGGAGGCCAAGAATTCACATTGCATGCCAGCAAGCCCCAGGTGCCACTCTCAGCCTGAGACTGAAGGCCTGAGAATCCAAAGCTCTGCTTGCCTCAGTCTGATCGTCTCTGCTTCAAGAACACAGCCAGAATCGCCTCAGTTTACAAACCCAGCCGCTCAGCGGCTCTTCTCAGCAGGTCCCGCATCCCTTGCCTGGATTTCTGCCGTGGCTGTTGCCCAGTGCTCATCTTCCCTTGCCGGCTTCCAGTCCAGCTCAGATCACGCCACTGCACTCGGGACCCTCGGGAATCTATCTCTCCACCCCACGCCCAGTAAGGGCTTCCATCTTTGCAGCGACTCATGAAGCTCAGCATTGTTCTCAATTGTCCCCTGCCACCCTCTCTACCCTCCACCGGGCTCCTTCGTTCTTCTTTACGTCCCCTGGAAACTTGAAACGCAGTTCTACCTTGCGACCCCTGACGTCCCGATTTCTGGCCGTGGATCGCCTTCCTCCTGCTGTTTCCAGGCTTTGCTTTGTCCCCGGCTTTATTCCGTTCTTCATCAGCGGGTTCTCAGAGAGTGACGGAGGACGCCCTTCTCTCATTGGTTGTTGAATAAAACACGGCTGGCCAATAAGGCAGGAAGATAGGCAGGACTAGGAGATGAGGAGAATTCTGGGCAAGGAAGGCAGAAGAGGACACTATGTAGACCAGGGAGATAGGATGCACCAGGCCTCTCCGGTAAGACAGGACCACATGGAAATACTCAGATTAATAGTTATGGGTTAGTAGTTAAGACGGAGCTAGCCAGTAAGAAGCCATAGCCATCGGCAAACAGTTTATATAGCTCTGTGTATTTACTTGGGACCGAGAAGGGCGGTGGGACCTGGCGGGACATGAAACATCTCCAGCAACAAGAGAGGCTCTCCCAGTGGCTTCATCAAAAACAATTCTTGACTTGATTTTTTTTCTGAGATAGTGATTCCCTATTTTTGTTGTTGTTGTTGTTTTGAGACAGGATTTCTCTATATGTATCTCTGGCGTTTCTGGAAATCTCTCTGTAGACCAGTGTTGCACCTGCCTGTGTAGCCTGTATCCGAGAATGTAGCGAGGTGGTCAGGATAGATGACACAGAGATCGGTCGGTTGTGTTAAGAAAACTTTATGCTCCCTAAGTCGGCTTAGGAGAGCTCCCCAAGAAAAAACGCTTCCCTTTTAAAAGACTTCTGCCATCCATCTACACACACAATTCTCCAACCGAGCTCTCACATACCTCTCACAGCTCTCCCAGACTTCTCACCCTCCTGGCTGGTGATTTAATCTCTGGCCCCAGAATCAGGGAGACACAGCAGGGAGCAGGAAGAACCATCTAGCCTTAGAGGGGATCAAAGTCATGGTGTTTCAGTGAGTTGAGCCCTTATCTGAGCCCTATCAAGAGCTTTATAGCACTGAATTGTTTTCAGTAAACATTATCTCGCAGCTGCCTGCTCCCAGGCTGATGGAGGGGTGGGTTTCCGGCCAGGGTCTGTAATCCCCACAGACCGGGCTGTCCTCGAATTTAGAAACCTGTCTGCCGGAGGCAGAGGCAGGCAGATCTCTGTGAGTTCGAGGCCAGCCTGGTCTACGGAGTGAGTTCCGGGACAGGCTCTAAAACTACACAGAGAAACCCTGTCATATCCATCCCAACTCCTGCCCTCTGCCTTGGTCCCCCTTAACATGTCGCCCCTCCCCCATTTCATGCCTTTTCTTTTTCGTTTTTAAATAACACACTGAGTCCGTTTCTCCTTTTTTCTTTCTTTCTTTTTTAGTCACACACTGAGGTCAATCTGTGCTGCCTGATGGAATGTTGACTAATCTTGTTGGCTTGATCTTGGCAGGTAGCCACAGCTGCAATGAGCTCATGTGTGCAACGGCTGAGCCGGGTCGAGGAGACAGCATTTCGCAGCCTCCCCATTCATTCTCCAGCTCTTACATTCTTTCCACCCTCTCTTCCCCGACGTTTCCTGAGCTTTAGGGGAAGGACTGACACAGAGGTCCGTTTAGCACTCAGTATTCACTGTTCTTAGCACTTTGGCCACTTAATGGGTCTCTGCAGTAAGTGATGACCACTGAAGAGAGAAGCTTCTTTGGTTTGAGGTTGAGACAAGTATTCATTCTCTATCTATCTACCTATCTATCTATCTATCTATCTATCCATCTATCTACCTATCATCTATCTAATCAACTATGTCTGTCTGTCTGTCTATGATGGGGATTGTCTTTCTGTATATATGTTTCTCTTATTGGTTGATGAAGAAAACACTGATTGGCCAATAGCCAGGCAGGAAGCATAGGCGGGGCTCCCAGACCAGGAGAAGGCTGGGGAGAGAAGGCTGGGGAGAGAAGGCTGGGGAGAGGCCTTTAAGAGACGACATGCTGCTGAAGGAGTAACATGCTAGCTTATGGGTAAGCCACAGCCTCGTGGCAACACATAGATTAATAGAAATGGGTTAGTAATTAAGACAGAGCTAGCCAGTAAGAAGCCCTAGCTATTGGCCAACAGTTTATAAATTCTTATAAGTCTGTGTGTGTCTATTTGGGGCTAATCAACTGTGGGACCAGGTGGGACAGAAACTTCCATCCATCCATCCACCCATCTAAACATAAATGTTTAAGAACATGTACACTTAGCAAGATAACAATTGTAGGTACTGCCTTAGGCCTATGACTGTCCTAGTCATAGGCATGTGACAACGCCTATGTTACCAGCTCTGAGTTCCTTCTCTGGCTCAAATCCAGTTAAAACCAGCTGGTTACCCTCATAACCTTCATGCCACTATTGCACCAATGGGTACATCTTTCCCGATGGGTTCCTATTGGAGCATGCTGGGTTTGCTGCTGGGTGACAATCATTGATGGCTTTTCTCCCCCAGTGATGCACAAAGCACATTTCAGGTCTATGACATTTAGCCATCGGGAAGGATATTCTCAGTCAGTTCCGGCTTGGTTTCTCCGTCTTGGAACCAGTGTGTGTGTGTGTGTGTGGTGTGTTCAGCAATGGGCCTCACCAGTACCTTTCTAATAATGCTGTTGATTACATGAAGCAGAGACCCTGTGAATTTGGATGAATGAGTAACTCCTCTCTCGTCCAGACCAAGCCCACACAGCAGCCAGTGCCCTGACAGAGGAGTACATGGCTCACACCACTTCTTCCCTTACGACCTTACCACCAACAACCCTGGCTCTGGCCACCTGTTATCAGGTCATGTCTGTCTACTCCACCAAACTCTATGAAGACAAAAGCACATGTATGTGTGCATAGAGACACAATACATGCATACAATGAA